AAAAGTTATTAATAACCAACTAACAGTTATATAATTTTTTAAAAATTCAGAGTATTTTCGGAAAGTTATATGGCCTACATGGATATGAAGGGCAAAGGTGGAAAAATATGTTTTAAGAACACTAATCTATATGGCGTTGAAAAAGATATACCTTCGTAAGTTGTAACATTTTCCATTCATTATTTTTTTTTTAAATCTTCCCTTTTTGATTTTTTTAATATATTTTTTTTATTTACAGCTTCTTTTATTGTATTCAATGAACCAAAAGAACCCTCGGTTAATGGAACATTGTTTGACTTTCTAAATTACGCTTTATTTCAAAAAGGTGGTGGAAAAGAGAAGAAATTTGTGTAGATTTTATTCAATTACATGTAAATATATGTAAAAATAGAATAAGTATTTTTGAATACTACTGTGATCAAAAAGTAAGGTGAATTTTTAATTTAAACTTCCCGCCTTATTCGAATCGTTCAATCTTTTTTATTTTTAAGTTGGTAGGAATGTCATTAACATTTGCGCCTAATTACATTTCAAACTCATAATTATTTTTTTTTTGTTTACGCTTGTTTCTGAAGTACCAAAAGTGCATTCGGCGATTTTCACGATGTCTAATTTTGTTGAGCAAAGAAGTGCTATTAAATTTTGTTTGCGGAATGATATTTCTGCTGCTGAAACGTATCGAATGTTGCAAAAGGCCTTCGGTGAAGAGACTATGTCTCAAAAAATTGTTTACAAGTGGTACAAAGACTTCAAAGAAGGCCGAGAACGTGTTGATGACTTGGAACGCTCCGGACGACCATCGACTTCGATTGATGATCGCCACATCAACAAAATCAAAGAATTGGTGCTTGCAAATCGTCGGTTAACCATTCGAGACCTTGTTGACACGGTTGGAATATCATTTGGGTCGGTGCAAGCGATTTTGAAGGATCATTTGGGCCTCAGAAGACTCAAATCACGTTTGGTGCCGAAATTTCTCAATTTCTTTGAAAAAGAGCGTCGCGTTAAAGCGTGTGAAGCAATGCTTTCTGACTATCAAGACGTCTACAAACAAATTATTACTGGCGATGAGACTTGGGTCTACGCATACGACCCTAAAACAACCGACCAATCGAGTGAATACCGTGAAAAAGGCGAGCCGAGACCGAAGCAACCACGTCAAAGTCGCTTAAAAATCAAGGTCATGTTGACTGTTTTCTTTGATTATTGTGGTGTCGTGCACTACGAATTCCTTCCAACTGGCCAAACTGTCAACAAGGAATATTATTTAAGCGTTATGCGACGTTTGTGTGAAGCTATTCGCAAAAAGAGACCGGAATTATGGGCCAATAACTCTTGGATTTTGCACCACGATAATGCGCCTTCGCACACAGCACTGGTTCTTCGTGAGTTTTTGGCCAAAAACTCTACCCATGTTGCTCCACAACCACCGTATTCGCCCGACTTAGCACCGTGTGACTTCTGGCTGTTCCTAAACCTCAAGAGACCACTCCGGGGAAATCGTTTTGAGTCCATTAAAGAGATCCAACGTGAATCGGCACGCGCATTGAAGGCTATCCCAACCGAGGATATTTCGGCATGCTTCGAAGACTGGAAAAAAAGTTGGCAAAAGTGCATTGGGGCCGGGGGAGATTATTTTGAGGGGGACGATACAGATTTGGAAGAAAAAATAAAGTTTTTTCATTTTATAAAAAAATTCACCTTACTTTTTGATCACAGTAGTAAAACAAGTTTTATCTCGTTCTTTAATCATACCTAGCTATTTTAACTGAACTAAACTGAAAAAGTTCTAAATAGTCTAATTATATACTATGAATAGATTTAATATTCATTATATACCTTGATAATGTACAGCAACACTAATGAACATGCATAGTACGTTTTGATGGTGATCATATTTTGACGCACATAGCACGTTACATACATATATACATTTTGACATACATAGCACGTTTTGATGGTGAAAAAGTATTTTACAGTCGTTTAACGTTGATAAATCAGCGTTAAAAAAACTATTATTTTAAACGTTGTATCAACGTAAATTCAACGTTGTTGTAACGTTTTTTCGCGTCGAATCAACGTTGATATAAAGTTCGAATCTAACGTTGATTTAACGTTGATTTAACGTTGAAAAATCAACGTTGAAAAAAACTTTCATTCTAAACGTTAAATCAACGTTAACTCAACGTTTGGTTTCAACGATATTTCAACGTTATTACAACGTTATTTGCCGGCTGGGTTATCCATAATGATAACATACCTTCGATTATTTAGGGCTGGAATCAATTAATTTTCAATCCATTCTTTCGTATTGACAGCATCAAAAGATCCTACTTTCATTTGAAATGATATAATACCTTCTACGGAAATAGCACATATAAGGCTTATATTTCTTCCCCTTTGTGTTGGTACAGATATATAAGGTGTACTCCCACTTAATGCATATCCATAATGTCTTTATTAATGAAGGTTAAAACCGGTTTCATCAATAAAAATTATATCATTATCATTAATAGAAAACTCATGAGTACAATATAGAAATCTCTGTCCTATAACCATCGCTGAGTTTCTTGCAGCTACAATTGGTTTTAATCTCTTTCTAGTATAACCCATACTTTTTAATTCTCTCTTTATAGTTGTTGTGGAGCATTTATTTTCTTTGGATATTAATTCACCTATATCCATCGCTGTAAGGGAATTTTTTGCCAATACAAACAGTTCAATTTCTCTTCTACGGTCAGTATTAATCTTTGCAACTGGTCCACGTTTTTTTGGTTTAGCATCGGGATTATTTGAAAGTTTCATTACCCAATTTTGGACTGTTCTTAAAGAAAGCTTAGTAGCTTGTGAAATATCAACGTTTTTTTCTTTATTAGCTTCCATCCTCTTTATTGTTTCAATGCTTCAATAGTTGCTTTCTAATAAGAAGCACGATTTTGATTTGCCTCTCTAACTCAACTATTTCATTAAAATTTGATTCTTGATTATATGTACTTGAATTTGTCATAACTTGTTATTTTTATTCTTTAAAATATTTAAACTTTATTTTACTTTAGAATTTGTAGTTTAAGCAATTAATGCTTGTTTAAAAAATTCTTTTGTAATATTTTTTAAAGCTAATGTATTTTGAGAAATTATATTGTTGAAATATGAAAACGATCATGGACACGGCAAAAATAACTGTGGACGCGACGAAAATAATTATGGACGTGACGAAAATAATTATGGACGCGACGAAAATAATTATGGACGCGACGAAAATATTTATGGACGTGACGAAAGTAATTATGGACGTGACGAAAATAACTGTGGACGACCCTGTATAATAATAAACTACACACTTTAAAAAGTTTGTGAAATAATGTGTTTTAACGTTATTTTTTAAGGTTATTTATGTTATATATCATTTTTAAACTCGTGGGAGTTATATATTAAAAATGTGCGCAAGCTATTTTAATTGATAGCGTGGAGTAGTTTTATGGTTACCTTAATTGTTATTGACATGTATAAATACTATGTATGTATAAATATATAATATAACAATGTATAAATACTATGGAAAATTGATTGAGTAAAATGATCTGAGTATCAAATTTACTATTGAGATCTTTTTAATCATAATATTTCAATAAAGATTCAAACAAAGCACTTAAAAAGTTTGTTTTTTTGTTTTTTTATGTTCATTTATAATTGTAAACTTTATTCAATTAAAATTTTAATTGTGTAATTTTAATTGCGTGCGTATCAGTGTGTGATTTAGTATTTTGCAAAAATTTTTTCACAGAAAAGTATGAAAAAACAGAAATCCGGATGGGAAAGAAACAAGAAAAATTCCAAGCTGAGTTAAAGATATTACAATCGGGACAAAAATTCTCCCTGGATTCTTTGCATCATCATCAACTAATCCTATACCATTTGATTCCACTGATACCTTGGAACCAATTACAGACGAGGTTCCTAGGTATAGTAATCCAGTTGACTTTTCAATTTCAAGAGTATCGGAACACGTTAGTACTCAATCCCTCCAAAGGTTGTATAACATAGGTGATTCAATTAAACTTTGGCAAAGGCCAGCAACGGGACGAGAGGTAAGTTTTATAACTTTTACCCATCCTATTCAACCAAGCTCTGTAAAGAACACAGTATCCAGAGGTTATAAACGCAATATTGATAGCGAACAAGATGAAACTGTACGTACTCGGCCGAAACGAAAATGCTACCGACATTTTCAAACCTTATTTGCGGCATGGAAACATTCAAGCCTTGTTAAAACTTCTCATAACAGTGGATCCGATGCTTAATGAACACTTGAGGCAGCTGTCAGCAACCGAAAAAACATCCCAAAAACGTAAGTTTGGTGAAAAATCTGGAGCAGTTGGAAGGGGATCAAAAATTACATGGCTTAGTTACTACACTTTTAAAAGTTTTGAAATGCATAGCAAAATCCAAGATTCTTGTTTTAAGCAAAAAAAGTCTTAAAACAAGAAAAAAATGACTTGTCCGCCACGTAAGAATATTTTTTCTTGTTTCAAGAATTTTTATTCTTAAAATAAGATTTTTTTTTTCTTGTTTTAAGAACTTTTCTTCTAAAATATATATTTTTTCTTGTTTCAAGAATTTTTATTCTTAAAACAAGAATTTTTATTCTTAATATAAGAATTTTTTTTCTTGTTTTAAGAATTTTTATTCTTAATATAAGAATTTCTTTTCTAGTTTTAAGAATTTTTATTCTTAATATAAGAACCTTATTTTCTTGTTTTAAGAACTTATATTCTTAAAATTATGTATTTTTTTCTTGTTTCAAGAACTTATATTCCTTAAAGAAAATCATTTTTTACTTGTTTCAATGTAATTTTTATTTAAAATAAGATTTTTTTTTTTTCAATAATATTTCTCCTGAACTATAAAACAATATTACAAAAGTACTTTTTCTATGGAAAAAAAGAAACATTATTTTAAAATTAGGATGATATATAATAAGAATATTCAACAAGCATTTATACATTTAAACAACAATTCTAATCGTTGAAATAACAAATTTTTCTTTGGAATGTTTTATTATTGTTCATGCTTGCAGCGGCAATACTCCTCCTATGTCTAAAAAAAGTGTACTCCAATAAGTTCCATCACGAAAATGAAAAACTTCATGAAATAATCTTTTGCCGCACATAATAATCACTTCGTCTCGATCGTTTGTTACGTACAGATAAGGATTTCTTATACCTGAAAATAAATTTTACAAACTCAAAATTTAACAATAATATCTTTTCATATCTTAAAATGTCGACAATTTATAACTCATTTTAGTTTTACTAAATTTAAGGGTTGTGTATGCATGCACACCTACCTCTTTTTAGGTCCAGTGGGCGAGGAACTGCCTACTTGTGTATTCCATAATGCAAAAGTGTATCAATGTCTTCATTCTTGCTGAGTCAACTGTGACAGAAGACTTAAATACATGTGCCATGTCGCCAACAGTCTGAATTATATAATAATAATAAAAAAAAAAGCATACAACTTTAAAAAGCTGAAAAATCTTATAGAACAACCCATTAGAGGACATAGCAGTTTTGAAAATACCTTCTCATTTAAAAAAAGATTTGTGATTTTCAAACACTATTAGATTTTATCCAATAAATATATAAAATCACAAATGAAAAAAAATTTTCTTTACCAATAGCACATAAGGGACACATTGATGTTTCTCTAGAAATGCTGCAACTCTATCAACTCTCTCAATTGGAAATTTATTTACCCAGGTTAATAAATTAAAACTCTATACTTAGTTCAATTAAAATGCACCAGAACAAAGTTCTAGTGCATTTTAATTGATCATGTTATAAAAATAAGGATAAAAAATGTAAAAAATTAAAATTAATTGATAATACTAAATTTACTAATTGAAAAGTATTGTTTTCTTTACTTACTTTACTTTGCATGTATTTGGAAACTTGCAATTGCTTAAAAGAAAACACACACATATATGTCATATATGTGTATGTATGCAACATAAACATGGATATTTAGAAATAGTACTAATACTTATCTTAAGTAAAAACCAATTGTATAATAATAGCAATAACAATATTAAAACAATTATAACGAGGTAACTAATGTTAACAATTATATTTATATTAATATAATAATAACAATAATATTAGTAACAATAATATTGAGAAATATTAAATTTAATATTAAACAATAACAATAAGTAATAGTGATATGAATAGAAGTAAAATAACATTGATATTTATATTACATATAATCATACCAAGAGCAATAATAATGACCTACAATGAGCCCAACATTTTAAGAACAGTAATTACATTTCTCCAAAATAAAAAGACATAAAGATGAGTTTTAGTAGTAAAAGATGAGTTTTAGTAGTAAGTTTAGTGATATAAAGTGAATATAAAAAATAAATTAATTTATGAATAAAAAATGATAAACTATGTCATGATTTTATGCATTGGTTTATGATGTGATTTGTTATGCTGTACTTAACTGAACAATGATTTAGAATATATAATTTAAGATTGCTAAATGAGGAAGATAATTTTGAGAATTTTTTTATAGAAGTAAAGAAATTACAGATTGGAAGAGTTAGGGTAATTTGTGCGTGATTTCAGACAAATAAACAATTTAATAGATGAACAAGAGCACGCAATTTGATTTTAAATAGAAAGAAAAGAATAATAGAATTAGAGTGATATTCTTGAAAGTAAATTAATTTAAATATCTTGTTTATAGATAAGATATTCATAAAAAATTATTGGTTCATAAATTATAAGTATATATAATATATCATATTAGAGTGTTTGTAGTATGTTTGAGAAATAAAATTTATATTAATAGGTACATGGACTGATTTTTTTAAATTGATCCAATACTAGAATGCTATATATCATTTGAAAGCCCTCAAAGACAGTATTTTAAAGGTGAAAAAATGATGAAAATTAGACAATTCTATAAAAAAAACATAACATTTTTAGTAGCAATTTTTCAATTTATGGATTTCTTGATAAAACTGTGGTCGAAAAAAAAATTTTTCTTACATAAATTATTATAACTTTGACAACTCTTATTCAAATATCTATAACTTAGTATCAAAAGATAGATGTAAAAATAGGTATAATTTCAAATCAGTTTCTAGGGCGCATGGAGGGATCCAGAGGGGGTGCTAATCCGCCACCTACACCTCACAAAAAAACAATTTTTTTTTTTAAATAGAGTGTTTTCTTTATAAAATTAGTAATATTTATATACAACAAGTTATTATTTATTTATTTACATCACTAGCAAATATTACAGGTTTATCTTAAAGTTGGGTGTTAGGTTTTTGGGAAGGTTTAACACACCCTATCAAAATTTCATTCTTTTAATTATTACAATCTTTACTAAAATGATTAAATCTATTATAAAAAACAAAAAAATATATATTTCAACACTATAACAAAGAGTAACTAGTGGTGTATAGATTGCTTTAATGGAAGAGAAGGTATACTTCCCCCCCCCCCTCCTCTGCCATGAACCTCAAAAAAAATATTTTTATGAAAATTTCACAAAAAAATATTAAAATGCTTTTTTAAAAAACAGAGAGAAATTAGTATAAAAAAATATTTTAACACATTACAAAATGCATCAGAGTAACCATTTTGTCATGAAAAAAGACGAAATACACACTCCAACCTAACAAATAATACACGAAAACAACAAGCCTTTTGAAATAAAAAAGTGTAGCATAATATGTATAAATTGCCTTTATGCACCCACTTTCATAAAAACAATTTATACACCTAGAGGTGTATAATTTGTCTTTATAAAAAGAGGAGCAAGCCATCCCCCTTCCCTATCAGAACCAAAAAAAAAAATTTAATTACAATTTAACAAAGAAGTCTTTGAATGTTTTTTTAAAGAAAAAGAAATTAGAATAAAAAACTATTTTACCACATTACAAGATGCATCTGAGCATACATTATCATGTAAAGGAACAGATTAATCACTCCAACCTGAGAAAAAAACACACACAAAAAAAAGTTTTTTGAAATAAAAAATGTAATTATTTCTTGTCTGGGCTTCTAGTAAATATTTTAATTTTTAAATTACATTAACGAAACAAAATGAATAATTTTTAACATTAGACACCACGTAAAGGTAAGCCAGAGCCAACTATCAATTTGCAAGCCACAAAAATTGTGGCAGTTATTTTGCTGGTTACAAAACTTGCTATACTGTGAACATTTTTACATTAATTTCATATTCCAATTACAAAAATTTTAACTTCCCTGATATAACAACAGCAACTAGCTAGAATTTTTAATCTTTTGACAGTTCAATATCAGTTTCATCTTGTTTCCAATAAGAAATAGTGTAAATTCTGCCTTATTATTTCTTGTTTACTTTTTTCAACTCTACCATCATAAATAGCAAAATGAAAACTTAAACAGAAAATTAACGATAAAAATATAAAAAAAATCTAATTACAAACAACAAACTAACACTTGAAATATTGCTGCAAAGTTAAAGTAGAAAACAATAAATTAATAATTATTATTAATTTTTTATTAATTTGAAATTTATAATTCAAAATTATTAATATAAAATAATATTGATAGTATAAAAGATAAAATTGTTATTGAATATTAATAGTTAATAACAATTTTATCTTTTATACTGTTAATATTGCTTAAACATTATTAAAACACTTTAAAAACATTAACTTAATGATTAAGTTTATGTTTATAAAGTATTTAAATAAAAAAAGTTATAACTGTTATTGACTATTAACATTAGTTTATTGTATACTACTTTATTAACATGTTAAGATAATGGAATATATAAATTGAATACTACTTAATCTTTTAATTATTGTTTACAATAGCCTATTAAACAGGCTATTGTGATCAATACTTAAATGGTTTTATTTTAAAATGATAATAAGATGATGAATATATATTTCAAAAACACTAACAAGGTTTTTGTTAGTAAAGTAAATAAGTGTAAAGATAAATAAGTGTAACATCACATAAAGTATGTGATCTTTACACTTATTTATGTATGGTGTTTTTATAAAGTTGTCTACTGATACTTTGATCAAAGTATTCTCAATTGTAACTCAATTGAGTTTTAATTAATTCAAAAGCAACAGTTTTACTGAAGTTTTAGTCTTAAACGTTAAGAATTTAAAAAAGATTTTTAAATTTATCTTCATAATTTAGTTTTAAAAATTATTATTACTTATACTTTTATTTAAAAATATAACTTACTAGTTGTTACAGAGTCCAACAAAACTTCATTAATTTTTTCCATTTTATTATTTAATAATAAAAATCCGAATATACATTCTCGCAATAACAATTGTTTTGCGAATGGCCCCCCTAGCCGCCGGTTATAGCAAATTACGGCTGCCGCCGTAATTTGCTATAACCGAAAAAAAATCTGAAAAACAGAAACTAGGTACCAAAAGTGTTACACTTAGTAAACTGCCTGCTCTCTTTTTTTTTCTTCGTTTAAATTTGACATTTACATAGAAAATGCATGTAGAAAATTGTTTAAATAATAAATAGAGCGTGATCAACATTCCTTCTACTACAAATTCAAGTGAAAACATTGTCTAAATTTTTATGCAAAATTTGAAGCAAAATAACCCATAAAGAAGTTTAGTAACCATACATAAAAGTTATATAGAAATCACGCTAAACCTTTCTTCTTTCAAAAACAAACCTTTATTTTCATATTTTTTTAAAAAGAAATACCACAAAAGTACGTTTTACTAAGACTACCGGAAAAATGCAGTATGCGTAGTAGAACCCTTTGAAACCTATCTGCTCCTTTTTTTTTTTTCGTTGAAATTTGATATGTGCATAGAAATTGCATGCTGAAATTTGTTTGAATAATAAATAGACCGGGATCAATATTCCTTTGACTACATATTTATGTGAGAACATCAACCTATTTTTCAGAACCAAAATAATCCATAAAAAAATTCAGTAACCAAACATAAAAATTATATAAAAATCAAGATTAATCTTTCTTCTTTCAAAAAAGTATCTATCTGTATTTCTAAAAATCTATCTGTATTTCTAAAAGTCTATCTGTATTTCTAAAAATCTATCTGTATTTTTAAAAATCTATCTGTATTTCTAAAAATCTATCTGTATTTCTAAAAATCTATCTGTATTTCTAAAAATCTATCTGTATTTCTAAAAATCTATCTGTATATAAAAGTATTTATCTGTATATATATTTAAAAAAAAATACTTAACAAAAATACGTTTGCCTAATGCTACCTAAAAAAAAGTTAAAAAAACGAGCCACAAAATTTTAGCACAATCGGTTCCGTTAATCAAAATTTCCGCGTACCTAATATTAAAAGAGATTTGCTTTTTACTAATACAATCTATTTGACTTTAGAAAAATATATTGCTGGTTTAATACAGTCTTATTGATGTTATTCCATTTATGAAAAAATTGGGTGCTAGGTTTAAGTACAACAAACAACATTTGGTCCAAATACTACTTTCATCACGAGTTTAATAAATAAGTTGCAGCATTAATTTTTACAAAACCAAAATTAAAAAAAGTTGCTATATAAAAAATCTAAGATCCTCAGCCATTTTAAAAAACTCTGAAATTTCTTATGAACTTTTTGAACATGCGCTCATAAACATAACGCTTGTAATTGACTGTAGGTTTTTAAGATTTTGGGGCCCTAATGACAAATTGAGGGGGGGGGGATAGGCAGAAGGAGCAGAGTCTTTAGCCACACAAAAACTCCTTGATCCGTCGCATGGCAGTTTTTTCATTTTTATTAAATTCATTTATTTTAAAGAAGTGCACAGCTTTAGAGCAATTCAAACCAAATCGCTCTTATGCATGCTTGCACCTTACATTTATATTATTCTGCTATTACGTCGCCCATAAAAAAGATTCACTTTTATGCTGTTTAAATTTATGCAGATTTGCAGATATGAATATTGCATTTATTAAAGGCAGATTCAATAAAATTCTTGAAGTATACGACTCTTATATATATATATATATATATATATATATATATATATATATATATATATATATATATATATATATATATATATATATATATATATATAAACACACAAATATTGTTCGTATATAATATGTATACATATATAAATATATATACATATTATATACAAGCAAAATGTTACAATATTATAAAATTAGGAACAATGTTTTTTATTGAAATATCTTTAAATAAGAAAGGAAATCTAAAATAAGAATCAAGTTCTTAAAATAAGAATCAAATTCTTAAAACAAGAATCAAGTTCTTAAAACAAGAATCAGGTTCTTAAAATAAGAATCAAGTTCTTAAAATAAGAACAAAAGTTCTTAAAATAAGAACAAAAGTTCTTAACCTAGAATCTTGGATTTTGCTGTGTGAAAGTTTTTATTACTGAAATACGAAAGCAAATTATCAGCTTAATAAATAAAAATGGAGTTTTTAGTATACAAGCTGAAATAACAACAGATATAGCTCTATGCAACCAGATGTGTCTTATAATTTGTACCGTTCAGAAGCAACACCAAGAAGCAATCGATGAATACGTTTCCTCCGTTCCATTACGCAATATCATTGAAGAGAGGTTGATTGATGTGTGTGAAATAACTCGTGTAAGAGCAACAAATTTATTTACAGACATATCTGATATGTTGGACGAAAAAAACCTTGACTGGAAAGCAAAATGCATTGCGCTCTTTGATGGGGCATCAGTGATGACGAAGCTTGCGGACCATTTTCGAGGAGCTACTAAAAATGTAAATCAACACATATGGTGTCATTCACATCGTCTTAGCCTTGCTGTTGTTGACCATTGTAGCCTCATTGATCATCTTTCGGTTCAGCAGCTGTTCTCTATGCTTCAAAACCTATTTAACTTTGTAAATGCAGGTTACAAGAGATGTGCAGTATTTGTGAATACAGTCAACGGAAGCAAGCATAATCAGGGTGGAAGTAAAAAGTTAGCTAAGTTTCTTACGCATAAGTGGCAAGGAAGTTGCAAAGCTGTAACTAGTTTGATAGGTAGATTTAACAGTGAGGATGCCGAGAAGCAAGTTAAAGATGGATTAATTGTTCAATTAATCGCTACTTTGAACTTAATTGCCGCTGACACTGATGTTGATGTGGAAACGCAAGGAACTATGCGGTAGTGGTGTAGTGGTAAAGTGCTCGCTTCATAAACGAGTAGTTCCGAGTTCGATCCCCACCACGTCCCTGGTAGTACCGCGCTCAACTCGTTTCTCCGCGCAGCGGCCTTGCTCGTCAAGGTTCGTGTTTCAGAGTTATAGAGTTGAGAGAGAGTTATAACCACAAATAAGTACCCTCCTTGTCTGTAGTGGCCTTCTCGGCCTTAAATAGGTGAATTAAAATAATTAAAAAAAAAAAAAAAAAAAAACTGCTTTTGCGCTTCTTCAACAAGTTCTACAAAAGGAGAGTATAGTTTTAGCTATATTTTATTCCCAGATGATGTCTTATGTGGATGAGTTAATGTCAATAATGCAGTTTCGAGATAGCGATTATTCCAGCGTAAATCAATTAATCTCTGCAACCCTGTTGAAATTGGAAGAAACTGGAAAAAAATTTGACCACTTTTTGAGATATGCTGATTCATATTGCAAGGTAAAAATACTAATATTAAACTATTGAATTACCTTGTTTGATTAATTCATAATTATTTAACCTTGTTAAAGGAATATTTGGTACATATACATTCTAATGGTAAAATTAGTGGTAAAATATTTGCATGTTAACTATTATATTTATAGGTACTTTAAAAAAATGTATATGTTATCATGAAACTAGATCCGTTATAATAAACGTCGAATCGTTATAATAAATGACGACAATGAAATGGAAGATAGCGAAACGGAAACTTCAGATAGCGAAGAACCCGTAATGCCAGAAAATAACTACAAAACAGGAGCTCATAAAGAAAAGAATCATCTCGTGTACCAATGCCTTGTATGCACCTACAAGTATGTTTTTTAGATTTTATTATGTGCAGTTATTTAATCAATTTTGAAATTAATGATGGTTATTTTTCCATTTTTTAGGTACATTCTGCAGCGAAGAGCATTAGGTGGATCTTTGGCAATGAAAAATAAGTTTCATATATATCACCATATTTTGACTCTTAGTGTTGACATTGACGAGTTTGAGAGAGTATTTTCTGCTCTTAAACATGTGAAAAGCAAGTTAAGAAACAAACTAACCCAAGAACATACGCGAGATACGTTACTATGTTTCTACAATGCAGATATTTTAGAGGAAATCCCTTTAGATGAGATTATTGATTTATTTGCAGCAGGAAGCCATGAACGACGCCGCCTTTTACTTGGATAATTTTTTTAATATATATGTATGTTTGTATATTTATAATGTGTATTTATATAACTCCAAAAAAAAAAGTTTTCATAAAACATATTTTCTTTAAATGAACTTTTTGCACAGCCATCGTCTTTTT